GAAGGCCGAAGGGGTAAAAAGTTGGCGATCCAAGACCCGTCGGTGGATATCAAAGCTCAATCATCCACCTCGAAAACTCACGATGCCAACCGAGTCGGGATGATCCACGCCGTGGACCCACCGCTGGAGAAACCCGAGGTATTTCTTCGGGCTTACCCGATTACCTGGAAGAGTGGCGAGTGCGACTGCGAGGTCTGGAGAAGCCCCTCGGCCGCCATCCTGGACTCGGGATCGTCGGCCGTAGCTATCTCTTGGAGTTTGACGAAACGTTTGCGCCAGGAGAAACAGGTTCAACCCCTCCGACTCGACGAACTGTATGTATCCGCCACATAATATAGTATTCACTGTAAGGGACAGATTATGGATGTTCCTATAAGAGTCAGGCGGGTGCATTGTTTGTGTGACGCGATTGTGTTGGATGTGCAGGCGTATGATGTGCTCCTAGGAATCCCGTGGCAGGCGGAGGTAGGCGCGCAGATGCATTTTGACAGTTCTAAGATAGTGCTCACCTCGGCCCACCCTAAGCCCCAAACGATACCCATGAGAATGGCCGTACGCGTACGCGCACAGCCCGCCCCTCGCATTTCCACCGAGGTTCACAGAGTCATCATGGTTCAATGGGTGTCAATGGGCGACGAAAGACCCACAACAAGAACCGAGGATGTGGACGAACCCGATCGGTATCCGATACGAATTCAAGACCGGTTCCGCCAACTGTGGCGACACGTGTCGACAAAGGTTAGCGAGAGTGAGTCTAGTTGGGGTCAGTTGTTCTCCTCTACTATGACAGGGGAACCGTTGCTGAGGGTGTCACGTATAATTGACCTCTCGGAACCCCCTGCGTCCCTGTCTCTCAAAACGGACCCCCTCCCGGAGAGATTTGTCGAGCTTAGGGGGCTATGCGACCTATCTTTTAGAGCCCCGCGACCACTACTCACAAACGCCAAGGCCGCCGCGCTTTTGGACGAAGGGATAGCGTTTCGGCCCTCGATCCTTGAAAACGCATGGGGCCTGAGGGAACTTCTGCAGTCCTTTTCAATGGAACCCTCGGTCGAAGCTGAAATCGATGGAGAAACCGAAACAGAAAATGAACCGGTCACTCCGGCAGTCTGCGGCACATAGTCAACTCATAGCCACCGTACACTCGGTAAAAAACGACAACTCCCTGTTCGGAGCTTCCCCAAAGGAAACCGCTCGGGTCCCAACCGTCACATCAACGGTCTCCCTTCCTAGCGGGAGCATCGATATTCAGATTCTTGCTCATGTACCCAACACGTATCGACGCCTCCTCCTTGCGGTGATATACCCCGAGGCGGTCAGTATTCAAGACCATGATATAGGACTAACGCACCTGATAAGGCACGCGATTGATATCGGGGACCACACCCCAATACACTAGTGACCATACTGATACTCATTAAAAGAACGGCAGCTAGCCCTGGAAAGGGTACGAGAGTTCCAGCGTCTAGGGTGGGTGGAACCCTCCCTGGGTCCCTGCTCGTTCCCGATGGTCCTCGTGCCGTGACGACCAAAAATTAAACGCAATAACCACCAAGGACGTTTATCCGTTATCCCGTATCGACGACCTTCAGGATGCCATCGGCTCTACGCGAGTTTTCTCGAAATTCGATATCCGACATGGTTTCCACCATGTCGCAATACGACCGGAAGTCCAAACCCAAAACAACATTTGTCTTGTTCGAAGGCACGTGGCAGTGGGCCAAATGTCCTATGGGAATATGCAACGAACCCGCGACATTCCAACGAGCCATGAATATGGCTTTCGCAGAATTCGTTGACAAAACCTGCCTGACCCAACCACTAGTAAATTTTTGTGTGCTTGTGTATATGGAATGATATCTTGTTTTTTTCCAAAACATAGGAGTACCATGTGGAACATGTCGAGTGGGTCTTGCATGCATTGAAAGACGCGGGGTTCAAAGTAGCCTTGGAGAAAAGCGAGTTTTTCCTCTCGAAAATCTCCTTCTTGGGGTACATCGTCACGGTGGATGGCTTGAAACCGGATCCAAAGAAAGTGGCAGCAGTACAAGAGGCACCGGTGCCTATCATGCTCACTCAAATTCGAGCCTTCCTCGGCCTGGCCTCATATTATCGACGGTTCATCTAAGGGTTTGCTCGTGTCGCCAAACTTCTGACCAACTTACTGAAGAAAGAAGAACAGCTGATCTGGACGCCGGAGTGCGAGGCGGCTTTTCGGGCGCTCAAAAAGGCCCAGACTACTGCGCCGATCCTGGCGCGCCCAGATCCGACGAAACCGTTCGCTCTGCACACCGATTGGCAGCTGCAGGCGATATCGGTGGTGCTGACTCAGCAGGGAGCAGACGGGAAGGAGCACGTTATCGAATACGCGTCGAAGACACCGAGCCAAGCAAGCTTGCGAGGGTGAATGTTTGGTGGTGGTGTGGGGAATCCGGCACTTTCGACTGTATCTCCACAACCAGAAGTTCGTTCTCGTGACGGATCATCAGCCGTTGTTGTCCTTACGGAACAACACGGATTATACGGGAACCTTGGGAAGGTGGCAGTAAGGTTGCAAGACTACGATTTTGACATCCGCCACCGTGCAACCAAGCAGCACGGAAACGCGGACGGACTGACTCGCCTCAAGCCACCAAAGAAATGCCCAACGAACGAACGACTCGTTCCGTGGAAAGAAGCTTTGCCCTTTATGGAGCCTCGCTACCGAGAAGTACACGTCATTCGCAAGGGACCCCTCTTGAAGCTGCAGCTACCCCGTCATCTTCCCCAGGCTCTTCAACCTACCCGTCTATCCCTCACTCTCCCCCTAGCGTATCGGTGCATTCCTGCTTTTTCTGCACCTTGCCTATGACACCGAACCGAGGGGCTCACACCCTGAAGGACCTAGTTTTATCTCATTGGTACGATGCAGCCAGTGCCGCATGATCTGGTCCCACGGATATTGCGTTAGGTATCGGAACGAGAAGAAGTGGAACTGTCCCAACTACCGAACGGACCTGGTACCTACAGAAAAACAGTATGTAGAGGCTAGGACAGAAAACGGATTCTTGCCAAGTGTCCGTAGAGCAGAGGTATGGACGGATCTCCTGTTGAGAAGACTCAAGGGAGACCCGCTGACGAAGCTTACCAAGTGAAGACTCAAGGGAGACCCGCTGACGGAGCTTACCAAGAGAAGACTCAAGGGAGACCCGCTGACGGAGCTTACCAAGGTGGAACGTCGGCGAGTTACGGAGCGAGCTCATGATTATCGTTGGCAGGAATCAGTCTTGCAAAAACGGAAAGACAATGACGATAACGGGTCTAGTTGGCTGACGGTTCCACAGCCTCTCGCTAGGTTCGATTGGACACGAGCTGCCCACGAAGAGGATGCGGTCCATTTCGCGGTCAAATACACAGAAAAAGCTATAGAGAAAAACGGATGGTATTGGTCGGGAATTCGGGAGGATGTCAGATACATCGTCCAAAACTTCACAGCATGTGCGGTTGATAAGGCGCCAGTACAAATGCCATGAACGATGGTACCGACTAGAGTAGAACGCCCCTTCCAACGAGTTAGCATCGATACGACGGATATCAATGTACCGAAAGGTCCCGTTGATCAGGGCGAGCTCAATGTCCTTCTAGTGGTCGTCGATCATTTCTCCAAATGGATCGAGGCCTATCCTACGACTAGTCGAAACTCGCAGGAAGTAGCCTGGTATATTAATCGCTTTTTGTGCATGCATTCGGACGTAGAAGAGGTCCACATGGATAACGGGTCTGAATTCCAAGGGGAGGTAAAGCGACATCTCGTAAGGGCCGACGTTAAGATTTTGTACTCACCGAGGCACTGGCCACATGCCAACGGGCTTGCGGAAAATGCCAATCGAATGATTAAGACCGCCCTTAGACGGAACATCACTGCAGGAGATACCAGGCCCTGGCCTGTCATAGTCAACCACATACTGGCCGTCTATCGGGCTACCCCACACGACAGTATAGGGGTGTCCCCATTTCAACTGAGAAAAAATAGTATCCCCCGGGTGCAATTGTCACCTCTAGTGGGTATGGAAGTTAGAGTGACCCGGGCTCAACATCGAGAAAAGGTCCAACATTACATGGATTTGATGGCTAGGACCTACCCCGCATTAGCTCGAAGGCGACAGAGGGCCATGGATCTGACGCACCAGTGGCAGATAAGAGATTACCAGAATCAACATGTCTCTATTGGTCCACTACCCCACTATAAGATCGGGGATCTAGTGCAGGTACGGAAATCCGCGCGCTCCTCCAAGATCCACCCTCGTTATACTGGCATTTACGAGGTGACGGAAGTGGGCGCGCAAGGCCAGCACTCCGTGAAGCTGATCCCCCGGTGCAACGCACAGGCCAGGCCGCTGACTCGCCGCTGCTGCCCTTCGTCCATTCCAGCTATCGCTGGATCGCGAGCAGGCTCAAGCCCCGTCCCATCTTTCTCCTTCGGCTTCCTCGTCCTCACTCGCCTCTTCTTCTTCCTCCTTCCAATCCACCTCACCGCTTGAGGTTGAAGACTCGATTGTGCAGGATGAGCCAGCACCAGCAGGGGAATGAGCCAATTGAGCATTGCCAAACGCCTATCGCGGATCAGTTATTGCGACATCAATTCAATGATGATCGGCAGTTGAGGTACGACGTCCAGCAGGTGAACGTGTCCGGGACGAGCATTGCAGATCTCGCCACGTACTCGCTCTTGAGCGAACAAGTGACCTACGCGGGGGTGTACGTGGACGTTACATAGCTGCCTGGCCCGGAAACCACCATGGTGTTCATCGAGTTCCGTGCGCTCCAGGTGGCCGCCAACTTCGTGCACAATGTCGCCACGTTCATCAACGATTTGACGCTCGTGGACAATCGACACCGAGAACCGGTGTGGAACTTTTTGCGAGAGTACCCGGTGCAGGTAGCGAGATCGGTGGCGCGAGCGCAGGGAAGGGGCCATCGATTCACGCCATATCACGCGTTGCTGCGACGGGCGTAGGACGGACAGCCGGCATTTGCGCCTTAGTTGCCCATGCTTCTTCCCCCCCTTGATCCTCTAAACATCCAAGCCATTCCCCATCCCTCACGGCGAACCCCTACCCCATGTGCAACTTTTGAGAGTATATGGTGGAGCTGAAGGACATGGAGCCGCTGCCGCAAGCTGAGGAAGACGCGTGGGAATTGCATCGCGCGCTGTATCGATCGGTAGTGCTGGGCATATTCTGGTTGGACGTGTCCTACAGCGATCACAACATCGCTGAGAATCTGCAGGTGTACTACGTCATCTCGCAGCGCAAACCGGAAAAGGAGGGCACGGTGGCATTATACCCGTTCGGGAAGATCGGGACGAGCAGGCCGGAACTGTTGGAGCTCATTCATATCGAGTTGCTGTCCATCGCGCAAGTGATCGCCAGCGAAGAAGAGGATCTCCAACTCCGCCTACGAACGGCATCGGCTCCGTGGCGATCTTACCACGTGGTGGTAATACCAGCTTATATCGCGCGGGAGGGAAAAAAGGTGATGAGCATTGTCAATCGCAAGTTGCTGCTGCCTCCCTCGTCCTACCCCAAGCCAGTAGCCCCAAGGGCCCTCACGAAGACGCCCAAGAAGAGATGTCGCCAGCCATCGCCGGAGGCGCAAGGAAGCCGGGTGGGACCCGGAGAAGAGGTGGACCAGGCCGGGCGGGTACGGAAGCCTGAGCCTGTCCCGGAGAGCAAAGCGACACCGATCGAGGGACCTCCGCCGAGGGAAGGAGCGGGAACAAGCAGATTCCGGATACACGGGAACCCTCCGGAGCCAACACCACTGCTGCCGCTCCTTCCCGATCTCAATCTCGATGGAGCCGGCCCATCAGCACCAGCAGGAGGAGATGGAGGAGGAGGAGGAATGGGACTGGGAGTAGTACCATATCCCACACCCAAACCCCCCATCCTCGCAGGACCTTTCCGCTTCCGCCAGCCACCCAGGCGTGCCCCGGTCATTGACCTTAGCAGTTCCTCCGAGCCGGACGGTCCACCCAACGGATGTCACGTTCATGGTGGAGCCTGCAACCATCAGGCTCGAAGCGATCAAGGGGGCACCGCGTCCTGATCCTGCATGGGAGCCGTATCTGGAGCCGCCATTTGAGGGATGCGTTGCGGCCAGACTTGCAGGAACGCTCATCTACGAGGCCGGCCAGCGACCGAATGTAATGTACCATTTCCTTGTCGTCGCGGTGCTCAAGAGGGAGAGGCCGTATACCGAGACCCACTTGGTGGTGACGGGTCCCGGGAATCGCACGGTGCGACGAGGGGTCATACGGGCTATTGCGGATCTGGCGCCACGCGTCTCGGCACATGTACAGGGGCCGTTTCTCTATCCCTCCTTTGTCAAACACCACTTCAACGAAGTGGAGGCGTCCACGACTCCGGCTGAGCTGGCAGCCTTTCTTCCTCCTCTTCCTCCCCCTCTTAATCCCGAGATCGACCATTTCCTCAGATCCTTTTTCCCCCTGTCTTCTTCTTCTTCTTCTGTTTCTAATTACAAAGATCGCGCAGCAAAACGCGCTGTGTATTAAAGAAAATAAAAATACAAAATAAAAATAAAAAATTCTATAGTCATATGCTGATCAGGCCAGCTGACGATGAAGGGGCCGCCCGATCAGGTGTACAATAGGAGGCGAGATCCATAGCGATGCGGGAGGCATCGAAGTAGAATAGGTGATGAACTGGGCCAATTGACGATGAAGTGGCCGCCCGGAACATCCAAGTAATTAGGAATTTAGGAGGGCTATACAGCAGTCGGGAGACTGCTATTTTTTTGGGAACCCCCTGTGCATCACAGATGTGATAAGCCAGGATCCACTCTCGGCGGTTTCCCGTACCCCTAAGGGAAAATCCCACGTACAACCTCGAAGTACGGATTCAAGATAGAGGGGGAAAACGGTGCTTCATTTTTCTTCTTTCTTTTTATTTGCAATCAGACTCGTTCTCAAACACACTTTTCATGCATGTAAACAGCAACGCAACATACTGGGGACATGCGGCCACTCAAAAACTCAGAGATATGGCTTTCAGATACGAGTTCACTCTCAATAAGCTATGGCGACTTCAGCGCCCAAACATCTCACTGTTCACATGTACGGGATCACCCTGGATATCCCACACGCATCACTCTAACACTCGAGCACACACACACACTCACTACTAACTACGGCTATGGCAGTTGTCGCTGCATCTAACCTATCGCTATACTAACTCCCTCTCTCTTGCCCACTGCGTCCTCCGGGCTCATCTGCAGACCTCCTTGCACAAGTCGCTGTGGCAGCGCTTCCGCATGGCTCACGCAGGAATGAATGAATGGGCGTTGCCTCTTGATTTATACTTCAGAAACTCGTTGGTCTGCTCTTTGCCATCGGCCCTTGGTGCTCACAGTCCCCCTGTGGTACTTGCTGGACCGGACTCGGACTGACTGGACCTTCCGCTGACTGACTGTGGACTCACCGCCATCCTACCGACGTTGTACTGCTGTTGCACTGCGGTTTAGTCCACCACTTGCCTCGCCACTTGACCACTTGCCCACTTGCCCACTTCCCTATCTTCTAGAAGGTCTACAGCTAAGCTTCCAGAACTCACTAAGACTCCTACGCTATAGACCTACAGATCGAACCCCTGCTGTCTATGGACCTACGACAGGTCTACCAACTGCCTACGAATACACAGGTCACAGGTTCAATTCTCGGGGTCTACACAGATA